CCCCGCACTGACCCCGCGGCGGGACCGGGCGCGGCCGCCATCTTGGGAGCGATCCGGTGCCGGGAGCCGCCCCCCCGCACGTGTCCCGTTGCCGCGCGGGGGCGGGCCGCGCCCCTACCTGGCTTTGTTGCCGGGGCGCCGCTGGTTGCTGGCTGCAGTCGGTGCCGTTCTCCCGGTCCCGAGCCGGGCCGGGCCGGGGGCGTAACCGGCAGCCTTGTCCCTTGCAGCCCCCGCAGAAGCGGCATAGGACCGTGGAGGACTTCAACCAGTTCTGCACCTTCGTGCTGGCCTACGCCGGCTACATCCCGTACCCCCAAGAGGTCAGTGCGCCCTCCCGGCTCCGTCCTTCCTCTTTCCCCTCGCTGCCGCGGTCTCCGGGGCTAACGGAGTTTCTCTTTTCCTCCCCGTCTCCTCCGCAGAACGAGCCCTGGACCCTCGGCGGCAGCATGAGCCCCCAGAACAGCACGGGCAGCACTCAGGACAGTGACAGCTGGGCCTCGTCCCACTCCGAGTGCCAGGTCCTGCCGGACGACGGGAAGAGCAGGAGCGCCAGGCACAAGGGGGGGATGGACAGCCTGCTCCTCGGCTGCCACGGTTTCGCCCCCAGCTTCTACAGTGCCCGGCCCCAGCCACCCAAGAAGAAGAAACCGCCTGTGAAGAAGCTCGTTTTAGACCGGGAAACGGAAAAGAAAGCGGTACCGGCAGGCACGCAGCGTTTGGGGGACGCCCGGCCTCAGCGGGGAGAGCCAGCTGCGCCGCAGGGGCCGGCACCACCCGTGAAGGAAGAGTGCGTGGAGTCCCCCGTCAGCCCGGCTGGCGAGCTCCAGCTCGCATCCGTCCCGGAGGCCTCTATCAAGGAGGAAAAAGACTGTGCGCCAGAGACGGAGACGCCAGCCGGCGGCGACCCTCAACCGGAGCGGCAGGAGATGCGCCGCGCAGAGGGGAGCAGCCCCAGCTCTTCGACCGCCTCGGACTGCAGTACAGCAGACAACGCGGGCGGAGCGAGCTCCCAGCCTCGCGGTAAGCTCCTGAGCTAGCTCGTGCGGGGAGAGCCCGCGGGCTGCACGGGGCGAGGCTTTTTCTCGTGGTGTCAGGCAGTGCCCTGGGTTGTTCTGTCCTAGCTGGGCACATTGTGCCATCCCTGCCTGCAGGAGGAGCTCGCTGGAGCCAGAGCCTGGCGCTGGGGCCGGAGAGCTGCCTTTCCGGCACGTGTGGCATGCACCAGACTTGCATCCTCCCCGAGTGCCACTCCCGTCCCCTTCCGCTGCTTCACCTGCTGCTGCTTCTTGTTTCCTGCTTTGTGCTGCCTGCCTGCTGTGCTGCTCTGCTTTCTGCTCCCTGGCCTATCTGCCCCTGTGCTGCCTGTCCCTTCCCTGTTCTGCCCGGGTCCCTTGTGCAGGTTGGCCACCGCTGTGGAGGGAGTGGGGCAGAAGGGGCATTATAATTGGAGAAAAATGGGGAGTGCTGTGGAGTAGCTTGGGGCTCGGGATCTCCCTTTCCTTTGGGCCAAGGGCCGTATTCTGCAGCCTAGGAAACAGCCTGACCAAAGTGGAATGTAATGGGAACCCCCTGAGCCAAGCTAAATGTCTTTTTTCTGTTCCAGAGCCATCAGGGGAATTTACAGCGGCTCCCAACACCAAAGCAGAAGGTGAGCGAGAGCCTAGCGCCTCCAGCGGCGGGTGGGCTGGGCACGTGGAGAGGGTGGCCAGGCTGGAAGGGGCTGGGGTTTGACTTGGAGCTGCTGTCCGACTACGCGCGGGAGTCGGCACCGAGTCCTTGGAGCAGCTGCTCCCTTGGGACGCTGCATCCCCTCCCCCTCGCTGTCTCCGTCCAAGTCATCAGGCGTGCGGGGGCACCGTTGTCTGACTGGGGTCTGTCTCTCCTTCGCCAGAGGATGACGCCTGGGACCTGATCACCTGCTTCTGCCTGAAGCCCTTCGCGGGGCGGCCCATGATCGAGTGCAGCGAGTGCACCACCTGGATCCACCTCTCCTGCGCCAAGATCCGCAAGTCCAACGTGCCTGAGGTCTTCATCTGCCAGCGATGCCGCGACGCGAAGCAGGAGATCCGCCGCTCGAACCGGGCCCGGACGGTGCCCCGCAAGCGCTTCTGTGACTGAGCGGTCCCCGCGCGCGAGGGCGTGGGGACCCCGTCGTTCTAAGACTGCAGCCCAACTTGGCTAGACAATCAACGCCCGGTGACTGTCGGGGAGGGCCTGCACTGCTGGGGCAGGGGAGCTTCTGTGCTGGACACAGCCCCTGCGCTCCCAGCACCAGGAACCTGGTTGGCTCCAGGAGAAACCACCTTCCTCCCCGCCCCGGGCTGTGGAGTTCAGGGAGCAGTTACTGCTGCATTGCAGGCGCTGAGGGGGGCCCACAGGAGAAGCCAGTGCACGAGGCCAGCCAGACAACCCTGCTCCGACTGGAGCACGGCTCGGCGCCTCCCCCGGTAGCCTGGAAGGACCTAGCCCAAATAGTTCCCCTGGGGTGTGGTGTGGTGTGGTGTGGTGGCTGGTGACCCTTATCTCAGTGGAGTGCTCCTCTCTGCAGCTCAGGCCTGTTCCTTGGCCCTGACAGCCTGTTTAAGTCTCTGCAGGGCTGGTGAGAGGTGTCCTGTGATGGCCCCAGACCGAAGTTTTCTTCCAACAGAGCAGATGAAGCCCAGACTAGAGCAGAAGCTTCTTCCTGCTCTGGGGCCCTGGAGGGGCAGCTCTAGTGGGGAAGGGGAGCTGTCCCCTCTGCCCGGCTCTGGGCTGGGTGTCTTCAAGCAGCGCTGAGTGCAGGGAAGTGGTTGTCTGCCTAGCCCCCTCGTCTGCCTAGCCTGCGGCAAGGCGGTGACCTAACCAGTAAGACCCAGTCTCAGCAGGTGCTGTGTTCAAGGTGCTTGGGCCGAAGAAGCTTTGACGTGCCCCCGTCCCCAGACCTGTTTCTTCTAGAGTCTGCAGAGGGGTTGGTCCCTCTGATCTGAGCGAAGTTGCCAGCTCCGGGGTAGGGGAAGGGGCAGTGTGCAGTTACTGTAAATAGTGTAGGAGAGAGACTGTAAATAATTTGTAAAGCAGACACTTTTAGAGAAATTACTGAGTGATTGTTGCTAAGCTGTCGGCTGGGGTCCCGGCCTGGACTTTCCAATTGCACTGGAGTCCCTGGGCAAGAGGGACAAGGGATTCCTGGCAGAAGAGCCGAGCGGCATGCAGCTGGGGGGGTCTGGGAAGGGGCTAGCAAGCTTTGTGGAGGGAGGGAGGGTTGGGATCAGTCTCTTTCCTTGGCTGCTCCCTTGTGCACTCGGGGAAAGGGGAGCTTCTGTCCCCAAAGTTTGCTGGGTCACGGGGAAACAAGCTTTGAGAGTAGGAAGCAGGTGAGGTTTCTACTTCCAGGCAGCCCCCTCCCTCCAAGTTTCCATATTGGTGGCCAGCGAGGCACCCTCTCCTCCCCAGGGGACCTGTGAGACTCCACATACCTCCAGACTGGGGGCTTGTGCCTTGAGTCTCATCTTCTATGCAACTCGCTGCCCTTGGATGGGATAGCCCTCAAGTCTCTTGGCAGGATGTCTGGTTTTCTGTCACCCTCACTGTGGGCGGCATGGGGTCCGCGTGCACTAAGTATTGGATCCCACGTTCTGCTCCTTTCCTCCCGCCGCTCCAAAGACCCAGACCCATGTGCCTTCTGTGCTGTGTGTGCTTCTCCACGGGAGACGTGGGGCTTTAGCCGTGGTTCTACCTTCTGTTCTGCCTCTTGTACCTCGAGGAACCGTGCTGGGCCTCCCTGCGGGGTGGGGCGGGGGTCGAAAGGACCCCAACGCCGCAAAGCCGGGCCCGTTTCTAAACCGGGATCTTTCCTACTTGCACATCTGGTTGCCATGGGACCATTTGTGGGGAGAGCAGGGGCCGCTTCCCCCATGGCTCCACCACTCCTCTGCACCCCTCTCCTGCTGCGGGAAGCCGAGGCCCTCAAGTGCTTTACACTTTTCTAGTTTTTAGTCACTTTTTATTGATCTGTAAAATAGCACATTTCTGGTCTGTGCCCTGTGGAGTGTGGCTGGAGTGAGGTGTATATAATAAAGAATCTTTGCCATAGCCCCCATGGCCTTGTCACGGTTTTGTGGGTCTCAGGGGAAGTCCCCTTCCTTGCTGTAGGGGAGAGTGGTGCGGGGCTTGGCCCTTTTCTTCTGACAGCAGTTCTCTCAAGGGTTTGCCGGATCCTGAAAGATGCAGGCACGAGAAGGGAAGTAAACTCTTTAGTGGGTGCAACAAGTGTCTGCCTGCAGCACTTGGAAGAGAGCCAGCCTCCCTGCACGGCGGAAGGAATGACTAGCAAAGGGCGTGGAGCCGATGAAGTAGCAGGGGAAATGCTACAGCAGTGACGGGCTGAGACAGTGTCCCGGGTAAGTGCGTCATCTGGGCGCTAAAAACCAAGGCTATGAGAGCGTAGGGAGTGTACCTGCCAGGTGAACTCTGGGACTGGCTTACAGGTGGGACAAAGGCCGTCGGAGACGGGACTTCTAGAGATCTGGGGCTGGGGTGAAGTTTGGGACATTGTCACTCGCTGGGAAGCACAATGGGGTTGTTGATGGCCTCCCGCTACCCTGGGTGTGGAGATGGCACGGGAAATGGCAGCATTCCTCAGTTGTGGGTCATTATCACTGCTCTCCGTGAGCACACGCTGGTCCCCGCCAATAAGCCCCTCTACCCCGTCCCCCAGGATGACTTCTAACTCCAGAAAAGATGACCGGAAACAAGTTGCCCAAAGCAAACGTTTTATTCTGACACTGGGGTTTCCATTTCAATTAACAAACAATGCCAAACCGGGAGCCAGCTTCACGTACCGTGACACACTCGGCACAGCCAGCCACAAAGAAACAAGCTTTCTTTCCAAAGAAGCCTCTGGGGACTTCCTGGTTGCTTAATTAGCCTTCTAAGCGTTACTGTGTCTTCCTGAGTCTGCAGGCAGCCTGAAGAGATCTGGAAGCAGGGGTATGTGGAAGACCGAAGCCTAGTAGTAATGGCAAGAATCGGTTAGTTGCTGAAGCTTTTAAGGAAATGGCATGGCAAAGCCACAAAGATGGTGGACATGGTGATACTTGCTGGGCTGAAGGTGACAATAAGGCACTTAATTACTCATGAGACAATGTGATTAGGGTCATTAGTAGCAATCCTAGCCTGGATGTTTGGCAGAGCTGCGAGATGAGTGGGGACTCCAAGGACTAGACTGCCAGTTCAGTTCTGACAAACCCCACGCCCAGCTTGATTACAAGGCAATGCTGTTTTTGTCAGAGATTGAGTCTGATGTCCTGGTACCAAGTTTTAGAAACAGATGATGGCTTGGGAACAGGCCGTTTTTTTTTTTTTGTGGGGGTGGGGTTTGCCAGCAGCCAGGTAGGGTGGTCTGTTGAGAGAAGGGTGCAGTCCCAAGGAATTGCCAATGCCATGTTTTGCAATTGGGGCAGAACCGTGCTTAATGCTTAGGTGTGCAGCCTTGTGGAGGCCGAGACGGACGCGAGTCCTGCCCCGCGGGCCTCATAAGCTGACCACGGAGAGCTTAGTCTCAGCGGGGTCCTGCAGCACTTCGCTGGTGCAGAATCGGAGCAAGCCAAGACCGATGGAAACCCAGGTCCACGTTTTATTCTATTAGCACTACAACCCAAGCTGGGGCCGGGGGCAGGAGAGGGCATTGGCCCACGCATCGTGGCATCTGGTGAAAGCACATCCTTACCGCTTCACTCTTCCTTAGCCCAGACCGAGGGGCTGCCCTTCTCCTCCAGGTAAGGAATCACCGCCTCCGTGTAGAACTTCTCCAGCTTGGGGACCGTCTTGTCCCAGTACGCCTTGTCGAAGTCCACGGTGGTAATGGCCGTCTCCTTGTTGGTGTGAACAACGAAGTCGGCCTTCTTGAGGCCCGTGGCTGCCAGCTGGCACTGCACCTGAGTGAAGTAGGCGTGGTTCCTCTTCAGGGCATAGGAGTCCCCTTCCTTCTCCAGGCAGAAGTCTTTGTCCTTGCAGGCCTCGCTGACCGTCTTGTTTCTGTGCTTGTAGGGACACTTGACTTCCAGCAGCCCCAGCACCTTCCCTGTACCCGCTTCCTTGATGACTCCATCGGGGCTGGCCGCGATCCACTCTTTCCCAGGTTGGATGAAGAGGCCGCAGTCGTCCACCTTCACCAGCTTGCCCGACTTAGACTTGAGCTTCTCGTAAGCCTGCACCGCCACTTTCTCGTTCTGGATGCCCCATGACATGGCCGGTGTCTGCACGCTGGAGCCCGAGCTCACCACAGCTTTCAGGTAAGACTGGGGCACCTCTGAGGTCTTGCTGTTGACAAACTTGCTGTTGGCGATCTTGTGCGCCACCGAGGCCGTGATGCGGTTCTCCCGCCACTCGTACCAGTTGGGGTTGTCCCGCTGGCCCCGGGTTTCCTCCTCCACCTTTTGTATATCTTTTTCCGTGAGCTGGCGGGGAAACTTGCTGGCCTCATCCTGGGTTTTGGAGATGGCCTGAGAGCGGCTGGACTGGCTCTTTCCCGGGTAGGAGGGCTCGGTGCTGGCAGGTGCTTTTCCTTTGGTGGAGGGAGGTTTCCCTGTCGCTGCAGGGCTCCTCTCTGATGCCTTGTAGCTACTCTGGGCATCTCCCGCGTCGCTGCCGTGCACTGCCGTGACACTTGGCTGGGATGAGGTTTGCCTGGTTCTGCTCACAGCGGTGCTTCTGCCTGGTTTCTCTGGCTGCCTCCGGCCATTGTCTGCGCTCCTGGCAGCTGGAGCGCTCTTCGGTCGGGTGGCTGCCGGCGTCACCTTGGCCTGAGATGAGGCGGAGGAACGAGGTGCAGCCGGGGTCGCTTTGGGGACAGCTGCAGCTTGCCGAGGGGACGATGCGCTGGCAGGGTCTTTGCGGGGCCGCCCCATTGTTCAGCGTTGGGGGTCACACTCTGTGGACACAGAGGAAGTTAGACATGCACGCCCAAGCGCAGACCAGCTATGGCACCCGTGCCCAGCAATGACCTCTGTGCCTCTCCTGTAGCCAAGAAAAGCGATGTCCCTGCTGCCCCCCTCACACACTTGGTCCCTGCTCCCCCCCTCACACACTTGTCTCCTTCAACCACATTAAGACCTGGTGCCCAGCAAACCTGCTGTCTTGCAGAGCCATCCAGGGCCCTTCAGGGAACAATAGGTTTTAACCTGCAGGGCCATTGACTCTGAATGTCCCTGGGGCTGGGGTGTTGTTGTAGCAGATGGTCAGAGCATGGGCGAGAAGCCAGGGGGTTTTTGGTGCGTCTTTCATGGGGCCAGCTGCATAATTGGGGGATGTTAGGCAGCTTTCAGGCACAAAATGCCCTCTCTCCTGGGTCTCTGAATGTCTCCTTGCAGTCAAGCGGAGGGGGGAGGGGGCTGGAGCCTGGGGGTCCTTCCCCCCGCCCAGGGAATTGAAAGGAGCCGCTTTTCTAAGCAAAAGAGGCTCTTCCACCAGCTGAAACAGGCTAGCAGGGCGCAGGACTGCTCTGGTTTTCCCTAAACCCACAGCCCTCGTCCGTTCTCCAGGATTTGTGCTCCAGAAACGCCCTGCGGGGCTGCTGCCAGGGTGGCCCTGGCGCAACGAGAAACCCAGGGTCCCCGTGGAGGAGTGGGCTGGGGCGGCAGGACGGCGCTGGGGCCAGGCCGCGCGACCTCCCCCGCTAGAAAAAAGCGTGGGTGCGGGGGTCTGTCCCTGAGGGCTTGTGGCTAGGGGCAGCGCGCGGGCCGAGGCGGGAAGCTGCCCACTTCCTCTTGGCGAGGCCTTTCGGGGAAGGGCAGGGCGCTGCTCCCACCGGCCCTGCTCCCTGCCCAGGCACCTACCCGGGCTGCGGGGCTGCCTCCTGTGCGACTGCTCGGTGCCCTGCCCTGCCCCGGCCCCGGACCACCAGATCCCGCGACCGGCAGGCCCCGGCTTGCCCGGCAGTTCCCGCCTGGATGGGGGAGGGGTCACAGGCTCCGCCCCCACTGCTGGGGGGCGTGGCCCAGAGGCAGGACCATGGCTGCAGCTTGGTGTTGTACCCAAGGGGGTGGGGGGGCTCTGATTTCCCATGATCCTTCCCCCCAAATGTATAGGTGTTTGAAATCTCTGGTGCTACAGGGAGTGAGGCATTGGTAGGCTTCCAAATTCCTTTAACACTGTAAATATGTCAGAAAAACACCGCGCTCAACGGGCGCCTACGGATCGACGGATGGATATAGTGGCCATGGGCGACGCGTCGGGGGTGCAGGCGGGCGCACGTGCACCCTCTGAGCGTGGTGGTGCACCCCCTGCAAAAAGTGCCGCCGACACTGCCAGCTCCCCCCGCCACCAATGCCACCGGCAGCGTCCGCGGGCCGTCCGCAACCCCCGAGTGACCTGCAGGCAGTCATCGGCCGCGGGGCCTAGCTCGCCATGCCCCCCACAGCTACCTGCAGGAGCTCTCCGCTGGCCGCCAACGGGAGCTCGCCATGGCCCCCAGCCTGCGGGGGCCCACGGCGTTGGCGATAGCGGCATTTCATTTTAATAGCAGAAAGACACGGGTTTTCACCAGAGAATTTGCTGTTTTGAAACCGAACAGGCCAGGCGTCCTGTCCTCGCCCACTGCTCGTCGTCAGAATAGAAAGTTGAACAGTCAGAAGCGAAATGGAAACTGGGCGCAGCTGCCCGGGGCTCTCTGCGAACCCGAGGGGTGGATTTTCTCACTAGAGGGAGCTGTCAGCTCGGCCAAACCGCAGCGGCCCTGGCAGAAGAGCCAGAAACAGGGCAGCCCGCGCCCGCGAAGAGGAGCTGTGGGGTTCACTGCCGCCTGGTGAGCGTAGATGGCCCAGAGAGAGGCGCGGGCCTTCTCGGATGGACAGAAGGGAAAGAGTTTCTTTTTCTCCCTCTCTCTTGACTGCTGGATGCCAGCAGGAGCCGAACTTTCTCCTGTCCCGCACTTGTCACCTTCCACGCTTCAGCTTTTAGAGGAAAACAGCTGTTTTTTGCTCTGGGCAGAACGAGCTTTCTCTATTTGTTGACTAACTTTCACACGGGGGAAGTTGGTGTTCATCGTTTCCCCCATGGGCAGGAAGCTGCACGTTTTGCTGCGTAAAACCATGGG